ATTACAAATATAAAAGTAATAAATAACAAACATCCCTTTGGCAAGCAGATCTCCCCAGCATGCAGAAAAAGGCCAGTGGCAACCCCTCAGCCTCAGTTAGGAAAGTAATTTCTGATCCAAATTCCTCTCAATCACTTTCTTTTAGGCAATTTAATATGAAAGGGTTAATTTTCTCCTCTTATGTGCCTGTTCCTCCCCTTGCTGTCTGGCAGGCCCAAGGATAGGGCCCTGCCAGGCAGCTCCAGGCAGCTGCCATGCACAGTGAAGTGTGTTTGCGGCACACACACATTAGAGGGCTATCTAATGCAATTATAAATCACACAGCAGAAAGACACCTGCCACTGCCTCCCAAGGGGCCTGGGGAGAAAAAGGACTGGGAAGGAGCTGGGAGAGCTTTGAGCCAGTAGCACCTGTATGGGATGTTGGGTAACACAAGGGCTGGTTCTTGCTGTGAGACCAGAAATGATGGTCAGTTAAAAGACATTTCTTGCATCGGTTTTCATTTCAGTGCCAAGAAAAGCACAGAGGCAGAAGGAACAAAGCAAGTTTTTTTGATGAGCACATCAGCACCAGGCAGTTCAATGTTATGCTGAAGTAACCCAAATAATTTGAGCACTGGCTGTGCTGACCACAGCAGAACTAGGCTGCAGTAAGTCCTAGGGAACACCCTGTGTGCTCTCTGTACCTTGGGGTGTGTAGCCCAGGGTGTAAGACCCATGGCAAGTTTTACCAACTGCACACATCAAGGCTCTGACTTACCAGAAGCCCTGGGACAAAGGGGTCATTCCTGATTTACTAACTTTACTCTCATAGACTCACCCTCCTCTTTCCCTTTCCCCATGCCTTCTTTTAGCACTATGAGATTAAACCATTACCTGAGTGTGTGGCTCCCCACTTGTTGGACTGAAGAAGCACTTTGCGAGCAAGTGCAGTGTTCAGAAACCTAATTGTGAAGGTTTGCTGAAGGCACACAGATGACCAAGACGCTGCCCACAAGATCATAGTTTCCGTTGCTCATACTTGGAAGTGGCTTTGCATGGTATCTATGGTCACCAAAACCATCCAGGCCCAGCTGCCTTTTCCTGCTGTGGCTTAACTCTGATCATCATCATGATGCACATACACCGTGGCTTATTATTTGAGTGCACACCTTTCGTGTACAGTGAATGGCTGGTTCTTCTGGTTATGTGACCTATTTTTCAAAAAATAGGACTCACTTCCCAGAATCCCAGCACTAAAAGGTCACAATTTCTCTTTAGAATATAAGTGGTGAATGGGGGAGAAAGCATCTGTTTGCCTAGCACTGAGATACCATGGCCAGTGACCCAATTTCATGGGGTTAGCCCACCAATGAGCTCAATGGATGGGGAAAATCTGTTGCCAGCACATCTCCAAGATGTAGTTCTGTGATTTCTCCATTTTGCTTTGGTAGCAGTTGCCAGGTGCCTGCCACTCTGAGTTAGTGATTTCTGCATTATGGAATTGTACAAGCATAGGTTACCTTTAGCCAGGATGTTTGGTAATGCAAGAGAGGAGGCTTAGCTGTTGTGTTTGTTATTAAGTTGTCTTTCTGTCTCCTTCTGAAATGTAATAGCAAAGACATTATCTGCTAATGCAATAGGAAAAATCCCTGCTCTTATAATTCAGGATTCTCTATTATTATTTTTCAGGAAAATAATTAGTGGAAGAAAACTGGGAGTCACATGCAGAAGGGGAATTAGGCAATTTCCAGACTGGAATTCTCATCCCAGGGCCAGGTGCTTATGTCCCCTAATACCATGGTGTGGAAAGCACTTGTATATTAAAGGCAGATAGCAGCTAACCTATTGATCAAAAGCAAAGGAACCATGAAATGCAAAGCTGTGTCTGAAATCCTGTGTGTGCCCTGGGTTAAATGACCTCCTGTACCCTTGAAGTGACCACAATGTAGCTCTGTCCTGGTAGATGGTCCCCATTCCATGTGTGGTGAAAGGAGACTGTTTAACCAGGTTGTCAATAATGCTAGTGCAGATGTTTTTTATCCTGCGTAGATGTAATGTAACATTTGTTGCATGTTGACTTTAGTTATATGGTAAAACCTTAGTGTTCTTCTGCTTTGCCAGGTGGCATGCAGGCAGTTACGTGCTCTCATGCAGGGAAGACATCAGAAGACTCTTCTTGCTATTGTTAATTACTGAAGAGAGAAACTGCAATTTGAAACAGGCTTTATTTTCGACACAATTTCTACTGTTGTTCCCCAACAGAAATAAAAGAGATGGCCCAAAGGCAAGTTCCACCTGAGACACCCACCAGATGTTGTCTGAGCTGATGTCTGCCTCACTGCTGCAGGGCAAGGCTGGCTGGGCAGTGTGTGAAGTGCAAGTTGCATGCATTGCGTTGCTGACCTGCAAAAGATCTGGTAGTATTGAAGTCAGGGGCTAAGCTTTTTTATGCTTTGTTGAATATTAAAGATAACAGTAAAAGTTAAGACTTGCTGTGGCCAACTTTGCTTTTAGGTTTATCTTCTTGAAAGAAAAGCAGGGCAGGGTTTTAAAAAAATGGCTGCCTGATGTTATATTCCTAAAACTTTTTTTAAACTTTAAAATCTTAAGAGGCTGGTGAGAGGCAGACATACTGCGTGGCATCCCCAGATGTTCTACAGCTGTTCATTAGTTTCTAACCACAGGCATTGGTTTGAAACAAGTGTGTACACACTTCTTGGGTCCTCAGAAAAGCCATCATGGGCCACACAGCCAGCTTGCTCTGCTATGAGCATGCTTGTGTCTGGCCAAGTTGTATTGGGCTAGCTACACTGTGTCATTAAGGTGATAATTTGCCTGCCCAAGGTCACTCTTTGCATGTGCTTGGATGTGAAGAGAGGCAGTATCTCCTCAGGAGAGAATGTTCCTGCTTAGAGAAGGCCCCAGATACCCTTCCTTGGGGCAACTGTTAGGAAGTGAAGAGTGTAATACTAGAGTTTCTAACACTCCAGAAAGATGGTTTTTATCTTCCTAACAACAGGGGGGGTTGGCTGGGCTTTGGTCCTTCCACACCTTTTTTCTACAGTTGGAATGGTCTCTGGTATCATTTTCCATCCCCTTGCAGTGGGTTGCAGAGCTCCCTGAGATCACTCTTAGGCTTGGTCGCTCATAGGGCTGGGTGACTGCTCATCCTGCCACGCCTCCAGCTTCTTGAGCCCCAGTGGAGCATTGGGACCAGACCCTGAGCAGACACTCTGGCCTCACACCAGCTTCCTATCGCCTATGCCTGCCACTGATGACCTGAGTTCACCATGGCTTAAATCACATCTTTTCCTAATGTCAACCAGTTAAGATGTAAATCTTCTGGATTACAGTTTAATTCTTCAGGATCTTGGAAGAGTGCAAACAGACACACAGATATAGCAAGGCACTTCGTAAGATTTTTGAAGGTACCTTTGGTTTTCCCTTTACAACTCAAGTTGCATGGATCTGTACAAAAAAACAACTAATCCTCCTTGCACTTAACTGCCTCAGTCTTCTCATTAACTTGCGCAGTTAATGCAAGAGTTAATTGCACCCCTTCAGTTTGGGTGTAAGCCTATAGTTTGTATTTCTTGATTTTGGTGAATCACATTGCTAAGTCATCTGCCCTCACTTCACTTGGGACATTCTGCCTGTTTGCCTGTTCTTACTCAAAGCCAGGGATCTTTTCTGTGTCATCTCCTTACATCTCCCCTTTATAGCATCTTTTCTGATGCCATTTTCTTTTGTGTTTAGGAACTTTCTGTTACTGTATCTGTCGTTCTGACTGGAAATGAGATAAAAATGTGTTTTGTTGAGCAAGAAACACCAGATGTTGAGACAGGTTTTATCCTAGTAGATCACCATTCTCATCTACTCATCTGTGATTTTCTCTAGTTTAGTTCTATGTGTTGACAGTCCTGACACATTAAAAATAACACCAGTTCAACAATTCTTTCATTCCAAGGTATCCACCAGAAGTTGTCTGTTCCTTCCCTGTTATCTTGTTCCTCTTACCTCTCATTCTCTTGTCTTGAGCTCACCTTAGTAGGCAGAGCAAATACATAAGGGCCAATCTCACAGAGCAATGGCATGAGGAAGGCTAATGGAGAAGATACTAGGTTTGCTGGTAGCTTGGAGGAAAGAGGTGATTAAATGACAAGAATCCATGCCAGAAAGAGAAGCTCTATGAACGAGGGCAGTGAGATGCACAGATAGACCCCTCAGCAGAAACTTGCATAGAGATACAAGATCCCAGGCAATAAGCTAGGAAGTGCTTTGTGTTCAGTGAGAACCAGACATTAATCAGGCAATGTTTACTCTGCAGATGAGGTGTAAATATAGTAGAAAAACTGGGGAACTTGTTTGAAACACAGTGGAACAACAAGAGGGAACATATGCTAAAGAAGTTTGCAGGTGGACTTCTACAAGCAGGAGCTGGGGAGCACAGGGGACAACAGATTGATTGAAGATTAGGAATTACATGGTGGGAAGATAAACTCAGGGGTCACAGTAGGGTTCAAATTAGCACGAGGGTTTGTGTGTGTCTAAGAAAAAAGCAGTAGCTGGACAGTGATATATCACGACTCGTGTGAAATATGACCCACAGCAACTGAGATGCCTCGTTGAGGCTAAGGTGTCATGACCAACTAATAACAACATCCAAAAGGTACAGATACTGTTTAACAGTTTACACAGTGAAATGTCAAAGAAAAAATTTTGCCCCATTTAAAGGGTCAGCATATAGGCTGAGACAACAGTGTGGGAAATGTCTAATCTTTCTCAAGTAGACTCCGAAGGCAGTCTCCAGTAAATTCTGTGGGATTCAGACAGAACTGCAACTCACCAGTGCTACTGAGAGGATATTAATGAAATTATTTATTGCAGCTGTGGTATCATTGTCCATTATTTTGTCAAAACTAAAGTAATTTTCTCCCAGTTTTAGTAAGTGAAAGGAAAGAAACAGAGGGAGGAGGGGGGTAAGACTGTGTCACCACACCTGAGATATTAATGAATATAGTCTCTTGAATATTTATTGTAATTTCAAAAGGAAAAAAAAATCCAACAAAAAAATTGAACAAACAAAATCCACTTGGTATACAGAAGTCACATACAAACAGAATATCCAATGGAATACACATGGTCTCTACGTCCACATAGAATTAAAACTCTGCACATGGATAAAACTTGTACTTCACATTCAGACAAGAGCTCCCATGGATGTATGCAGAAGATTCACAAAATATGTCACCCAGCAGAATTTTAAACTAACATTTTTTAGAACCACAGTAACTATATTGCAGTAGGAGTCAGAGGAGGATGGACAGACTGAGTCTCACCCCCTTAAAAATGTATCCTAAGCAAGTACTTCAAATTTTCTTCAAGAACAATTCAGCAAGCAAGTTAGCTTGAGGGAGCCAAAACAATTACATGTTCTCAATGTAAGCATTTATATTTGTGGATGTAATCACATGTCTATGAGGACTGATAAAAATGCTAGGTAAAATTATCTGCCAGCCCTTAAACAGTCAGGTCACTTAGTAATAAAAAGTTTAGGTAAATCATCCTCAGTCCTGTAGACATCTGTATATCTGGATTTAAGTGGTACCTCATATTATGACTGTTACTTTGCTGCTCAACTACAAAGACATCAAGAATTTTCCTTTTTTATTAAGCAATGCCAAATTTCTCTCCACATGCATTTTCATTTCACTCCAGTCTGTATACTTTTGCAGTTGTTTTCATGGCAAAACGTATAAAAAAAGGAGAATTTTGAGGGCTGTTCAGGTCATTGCAAGTACTGTCCTGTGTTACTTAATGTAATCTGGCTACTTTACTTTCTCAAACTATTTGATGACATAAGACAGGACTCCTGTGACACAGGTCTCCAGTAGGCCTTAAGAGTTTCGTTCTTTTCTTAAGATAATTTAAAAACCACTCAAATCTAAATCAACCTTGTACATTGTCAGAAAAATGCATCAGATCAAACTAAAAATCTACTTATATACCTTTTAATATAGTACTAATAAAAATTGTTACGAAATTGTTCAGCAAAACCAGTTACTCCCCTTGGCCCAGACTCATTAGCCTATCTCTATTTGACAAATTCCTGACATGTTCCTTTGAAACCAGAGATGTAGCAAGAATTAACAGAATGAGCTTATCATATGCAGAGTCTGCGGGCACAGCTGGGAACACATGACCAGTCAGTGATTCAGAGTTGAAGGCCCCAGATATATCCAAGGGTTTTGCTGAATAGGAATGGCCTTCCTCGTGTGCTTGAAGAACTATTAGAAATATGCAAGGACATCAGGAAAGGGAAAAGAAATGATTGAATTTCTCCTTTTAGATTCAAGGTTAGATTCTGAAGTGGATTTTGTTTGGGCTGGATTTGATTTATATCTCAGCTTTACTGCTAGCAGTGCAGCTATTCAACATTGAGGGCCATGTAACAGTTGAGTGAAGAGTCTGGGTCAATATATTTAAGGATGTATCTTCCATCTTTAGGATCTAGAAATGTTAAGAAACTTAATTGGCAGAAGTCACTAATTAAGGTCACCATCTACTGTGCTGGACCAGTCTGACTGTGACCTTTAAGCTGTTCCCAAAAATGTTAACTCAGGGCACCGACTGAAGTTTGCTGAGTCATCTGCAAGAGTATTGGGTATTCATATTTGATATTCAGATAACTATTATGAGTTATCTGTATCAGATTAAAGAAAACATGCCCACATATTATGTGATACAGGCAGACAGAGCATGTACCTGATTATTTAAGAATAAGTAACTCACCATAACTGATGAGCTCTAGGGGGTTCTTCTGATGCCTCTAGAGAATATGCTTTAAAAATATAGGGAGATAGTTTAGAAATGGTTACAAGCATCTTCTGACTGAAAGCACTGTCCCACTAGTGTTAGTGTAACATGATAATTTTCAGGAAGGATACTCGCAACTCTAAAAGTAAAATTGACATGCACTTGCAATAAACATACAGATATATTTTACCATTGTCTTATATGTGAAAAATAGTTTAAATGACTTAAGAATATTCTTACACTACACTGGCAAAGTGTTTACTATATAAATTTTACTACAAGACACATACATCTACTGGAAATCTTAAGCCACACAGGCATCATCAACAGCTTATCACACACACGACACTTCTCCCTTTCACACGTTTATATACACTGAGTAAATAATTAAATATTGCACTTATTGGCCCATGATTCCTCAGTTTTGAGGTATTCAAAAATAGAAAAGATATCTATTTTTATAACATATTTTCATGCAACACTTAAGACATTTGAATTTTACAAACACTAGTATATAGGTTACACATTCTGACAGTCCAACTGAGCCACGACACATCTGACGTTACTGACAAAATATGAAACAGGAGTTACAGCACAAACATTTAATTTAACACTAGTTGCAGGTACATGTCAGAATTACTTGAGGAAATTTATCACCAGAAGTGGTAGGAATCTCTAGCTTTCATTTCTGCATGTTATTCATGATCCTGGAATTACTGGAAGATTAGGACTTTTACTTCCCCCCTAAATCAAATACCAGGTACCTTATTCTACAAATGACAAGCCAGCTACATTTGCTGGAACCGTGGATAATAAACCTACGGTCTGCAGATGTAACCCAACTGATTTCTGGTGCTGAGACTTTATGAATAACTTCTACTGTGGCATTTAGGGAAGGTTGCACTGAACATGAAAAAGTAACAGTGGGAAATGAATGAGTGTCAAAGATGTACTGCTGTGTATACTGAGTATACTATATACATGTAATTACAATTTATGTTTCAATGAACATCCATGGATAAACAAAGTAAGAAGAAATGAGGAAAAAAAAAAAAGAATAATAAAAGCTTAAATTGCAAAGGTAAACTACATCTACGCCTTAATAAAGAAAACGTACCAATTATTTAAATAATTGAAATAAATTGCATCTTTAAATGAGACTTGACAAATAATGAACCTTGGAGTATCTGGAGTCAGAGTGTATGGATTAAGAGACTATGTGTATGGATTAAATGGTGTAAATCAACACAACTCACTCTCCTGTTGGCATAAATGAAGACATGTTGCTTTACACCCCCTGAGGGTTTATCTGTGAGGATTTGCATACTCACGGTCTCACATCTCTAAATCTGCCATCCTAAAGGATAGCTAGGCTCATACACTGTGTGTCTGTCTGTATGAAACAGGCCAAGGTGGAATCTGTCTATCAGCAGAACAGGCATTTAGTTAATGCCCTCAAAAAAGCAAATAATAAAACTTGCCTCTCACAAACAAATATAGAAAAGAGTAGTTGGGGAGGGGTGAAATTTTGGATGGGGACTTCTTTTGGAATGCAAAAGCAGCATCATTCATCTGCTGTTGAAGAGACAAAGGCATCACTATCAGGTGTAGAATTTGTAAGACCATTTTTTTTCCTAAAAAGTACGAGTGCAAAGCATTCTCAAAGTTAGGATCAAACTCCAGCAGATTTTGTGCATCCTGAAATAGCACTTCATGCCTAAAATAAAGAAGGTGGATGTGTTACAGCTGAATATACAGAGCTGAGCAGACTGGGAAGAAATCTTTCAGACTGGTGCTCTGGAAAGGCCACATAGACGTAGTTGCTCAGGTAGTTTCTCTAGGCATTACATTAATTATAAACACAAACGAACAAAACACTTCCAGGTAACAGTCACATACACAGCTGTTCAGAGTGAGAGTGTTTTGTGACAGAAAATCAGGCTAGTTCATATGCATTTCAAACACCAAACAAACAGGTCTAAATAAACAAAACAATAACAACAAGATACAGTATTGAGTTAGTTGCGCTATAAGGACCAAAATGCTTGTGAACATGAACTCTTATCAGAATCAAAAACATGCGCCTGAAGTTTCAACCCAGCAGGGCTTGTGTTCAGCAGGTCGGTGCCAGGAGGCACTGCAGGAACCAGTCACATCCCATGCTCATGTGTGCCCCCAAGGCAATTTCTGAGCACTCATCTGAATATGCAACAAGCAAGACACTGTCAGAGAACGATAAGGCCGGTGCATTATCCATGCACGGGATTAGTCTGCTGCTAAAAGCTATAGTCTAGATCATAACTTGGAAAATGGTTTGTGTAGTATTAGTTCAGCTGGCACCATGGAGCTCAGGACCCTCTCTCAGAAATGTAATATGCTCTGTGTGTCAACTACTGTATCTCAGAAAGTGACCTAAATCTCAGCTGAAGGTGTTATCTGAGACTGCACCAATAAGGCTCCATGACATTCAGTCTTCTGTGCTGAAAATGACAACAAATTAGTGCAAAGTGTGCAAGTACAATTACACAAACAATTGTTATGAGGCTGAAAGTAGTTTTGGATCTCTTATCCCAGGTTTCAATTTAATGATCCAGACCTCTTGCATCACTAGAATATAATTCTTTTTATCCTGGTACTTTCTTTTGATGGAACTGTGCTGCACCAGTGAATAGATCAGGGATTTAACCAAATACTGCTTGTCTCCTCCAACAACTCATAATCAGTGACAATTGGATATGTGTGAAGAACAAGCCATTTATTGTTTAAACTTTGGCCCTTGATCAGGTTGGGATGGGATTTCCAGAAGTGTTCAGCCTAACTCATATTTAAGAAAATTGCAGTTCCATCACAGAAGTCAGTAGGAGCCAAACTAGATTGAAGGAGCCACACTAGACTGACACAGGCTGCTTTTGGATATCCTACCCTAAGAACAGGCCAAGTCATAATTTTAAATAGCATTAAAATCCAAATCTTACTAGTTTCCTCAGAATTAAAACTAGATTTTTAGAGTGTTTGGAGAAGGGATAGTAAATTACTTCTCAAAAGCCTTTCTCTCATCTGTGCTTCTCTGCAATAGCCAGGTTCCAGTTGAGAGAGTTACCGAGATCATGATGCTCCTGATCTAAATGTGACCAAACTTTAGAGAAGAAAACTCAATATTGCTGTGAAATATCTGGCTGCAATAGCCAACCTGTGATGGAAAATAAAACCCTACTTTTCCAATTGTAGGTAACCCCGATTGTTAAGAAAAGGTCTACCTGAATTTCCACACATTTTCAATTTCAGAGGAAGGGATGGTAAAATAAACTGGGTTCAATGGGACATCAGCAGGTCATCCTTCCCAACCTCCTGCTCAGAGCAGTGTTTACTAAGAGGTCTGAGCAGTCTGCCCAGGGCTTTAGCCAGTCTGGTCTTGAAAAAGTTCAAGGATTTGATGTGAACACTTTAAAAATTAAGCTGACTAATTCTGAACTCTATGACAATGTCCGAGTGTCAGTACAAAGATCCTAGGAGCTTTTAAATATTGTCTGATTCTCCTGCTGTCCTCCACATGTGCCTTTTCCTTATCACACATGGCTGGCAGTCTAATGAACAATGTTACTCTGGCAGCTGCTTCCTCCATCCTCTCCATCCCATGCAGAAGATGAGACATGTTGGAGGCCTGGGAGGTTAGTTGTCTCAGAAACATGGAAGAGATATTCTCACTCTTAGATTTTGCTGTTACTTTTCTGCCCAGACTTGACACAAAATGAAAAGCAAATAATTAATCCAATTTAACAAAGGTACTATTTATCTATCACTCAATTTGTTTAAAAAGATATACACCAATAATACATTGCCACCACTGATTAGAGGTCTATGTGGTCATAAAGAGGCAGAGAGGGTCCTGAATTCATTGCAATGGAGTGCAAGCAAGGTGTGGCTGTAGCAAGGGCCATCTTGATTTTTTTTTTCCTTATTACAATGTGCACAGGAGGTGACAATTTTGCAGCAAGCATCCCAGAGGAAAGCTGGAAGTATACTTGCACTTGTAGCCATGCTGCATGATCCAGTATATGCCTAAACTCGTGTAAGATGTGACTATGTCCTTCTCTCCCCCTGCCTCACCTGAGATGGCTCAGACTAATTATACAACCTAAACCCTTTCTAAAGGGCTGAGGCTGAGTGCTGTCTCAAGGCTTCCCTGCTCATTTTTCTCCAGAAGGAATAACTGCACATAACAAGGAAAGGATGGAAAACTGCACATCATCTCACACAAAGCTTCCTCAGCATCTTATCACTTCTTCCAAAGCAGCTGGTACCTAGTGGGTGAAGAGGTACTAATGACAGTCTCTCAGCAGTGATCAACATGCTGCCTTAGATGGGGGAAAGAAAGGAACATCCCTGAAGAGAGGCAGGGTTATGGTTGAGATAGCACATGCCTCTTCCATCTGGCTGCTCATCAGCCCCAAAAGGACAGTGCTTTCTCTCATGGAAGTAAACAAGTTAAGTCCAGTCTCCATGTCTACTGGAAAAACAAGTGTTTAAGTAAACTAGCTAATAGGAAATATATGCTTTAAAACCCTAGACTGAAGAAAAAACACTTACCCATTTAAGTTAGGCAGCCAATATAGTGCCCGATGGCACATCCAATTTACATGTGTCTACATGAGTTTGGAAGTAATTTTTACTCTGTCAAAGTGTATGTAGGTTATTTAATCATACAAAAAAAGGTGATCATTTTCTCTTAGTGTATTTCAGGAGTTATATAAATTACATTCAAAAAACCATAATGTCTGTAGAGAGATTTCTTTGCAGTTGTGAGCAGTTTGCAGTACCTTATGTTACTTCTTTTTTGATTTGTCTTCTGATTTTTCCCATTGCAGACAGCTTAAGAAATGTCAGCCTTGTCCTAAATTCTGTCTAACTGGAACAATAAAACAGTTAATGCTTCTTCAATTATGCAGTTTAGTCAAAAAATGTCACTGTGACGCAAATAAAGCTGTTGTACAAAGTACTCCAGGGCACAGATGTAAGAAACTGCCACCAATTACTAAAGGAGCACTCTTAAACTGTGAAATATGACTATTTTTAACACTTTATTAAAAAAGAATTTGTGTACTTTATCCTGCTATCTTCACAGCCTTTTGCTAATCTTATGAATGTATTCAGCCTAACACTAGAAATGTTGACAATTTTTTATTACTCCTAAAGTTTTTAAACATCGTGAAACTGATTGCCTTGTCAAAATAGATATCCTCATCAAAATAAAAATAATGTCAAACTCCAGATCACTGACACCAGCAGCACTTCTGCAATAGGTCTGAGTAAAATACAGGTGTTTGTAACTAGTGTGGTGATGGTTGACTCAGGGACTGAATGGGAGATGAAATTCCTGAAAAACTTAAGTATGCAGGTTTGACAGCAACACAACAAGACAATTTTTAGCTATGAACTACTAAATGTAATGGATTTGGCTCCATCAGGGGTAATATAGAACTGTGTGTTTGATGCCTCAGGCAGGTAGAAATGGAAAGAGCTATTCAGCCCTCCACTACTGCGGTAGGTACTACTGGGATCTCCGTAATGGTGAAATGAGAAATTAAGTCCAGTTTCAGAAAGGTGTTAGATAGATGTGCAGCTCCCATGGAAATGTAAGCATATCAGTTATCCAAAGAGGATGAAGTACCTAATATGTCTGAAGGACTACACTGAATATCCACATCCAGTTGGAAACTCACATGGAAGTTTGGTGGCTTTGGGTCTAGGAACTAATTTCTTTCTAATTTCTTCAATTCCCAATCAGTTATGATGTATAATATGAGTGTAGACTTGCCAAGGCAATATGCTCCAGGAATTGTTCCTTATAGAAATGTTCTGGACAGAATGAGGAATTAGTTCACTAAAGGAATATTTCTAAATTGATTTTCAGTCAGGACAAAATAAATATAAGTAGCATCAGGAAGCTTATGCTAAAACACCTTGGCCACTACACTAAAGATACAACTATATAATTTGAAACTGATGAAGCAAGAGTCAATTCTAGGTAAATGTGGTCTGAGGGCATGGCACCAGCTGAAGTAAGTGAAATGTAAAACAGTGAAAAGAGAAGTTAATAGCCACCCTGCATGCAAAAGCCAGATGCTAAAAATCAGATTGTCCTTTCAAACTAAAAACCTCCCTATCTCCATATACATACTTGACCAGCTGCTGATGTAAAATAAAAGACTTTTCTCCCAAATAAATTAATAAGACAGTATAAATAAAGGCATATAGACGATTCATAAACACTCTGTTGGCAACAGAACACACTGGAGCTGCCTTTGCTGATAGCTGCATTAACAGCCACAGTTGGGCTGCTGTGGAGGAGGGGTGTCCTTTAGCCGTGTGTTTTGCTTGGTGGCAGCAATGGTGGGATCTGTCTCCAGACTTTCTGACATTTTGTCACAGATGATATCCACAAGTCGCTCAAATGTCTGCTTGACATTAATGTTGTCCTTGGCACTTGTTTCAAAAAATTCAAATCCTAAGAAAATAAACAACACATTTATGTTCAGTGTATATTCCAGTATCTCCAACAAATACACAAACTTCTCTTGGGCAAAGAAGAGTGGAGAGACACTCATAAAACAAACATATGAGAGCACACATATGAAAGAGTGATATTGCAAGAGCAGTTAAAATTGTAACACAATCAGTGTAAGTACACTGGTGCTACTTGTTTTACACAAGCCAGGTCAAACCAGGACTGGCCCAAATACATTCCCTTAGACAAATTCTACTTTAAAACAGTTTGATCTAAAAATTGACAGTGATTTGAGAGTAGTACTATTTTAGAAATGCTCTGTATATCCATCCACTGGGAAGGAATAATCTACTGTTCCATCTCTAATATGTTCTTCTGAGCATTATTCAGCTGGAAACAGCCACTTCCATTGTGTCATTAACCTGGTGCTAAAACAGCCAACTGTGTGTGGAAATAAGCAGGTAAAAAACCCAGCAAGACAAGGAAAGATTTCTAGAATTTATTATCTACTTAAGTTAGGGGTGAATTATTTGTGAGACCAAAGGGACTCCCAACCCCACAAAACAAACTAATAAAAAAGTACACAAACACACATAAGGAAGAAAACTTTTTAATTAATTTATTTAGGACTTCTTATCTATTCATTCCCAATGGTTACCTCAAAGGCAAAAAATTCAGAGCTATCCTTAACCCAGAGGGGCACTGGAAGCCTTTATGGAGCAGAGCCAACCTTCCTAAGCGCTTTCTCTGCCCCCATTTGTCCCATATTTCATCTTCCACATCTGCTTCCTTCATGTAGGCCAGGTTTGCAACTTTCTGGTCAGCCTGCACTCCAGGCTTCCTTTTCAAAACATTTTCTCTTTTCAATTTGTTTATTTTGTAAGCCTTTTACCCCATGCTCCACCTTTTCCCACAGTTACCACACTGCTCACCTGAGGGTTCACTGGTAATTTAAAACTTTCTCCCCCTTCTGTCTTTCCACCACCTCAGGGTTCAGTATTAAAACAGTTTACCAAACATCCAATCCACTGGCAATTTTACAGAAGTGCCTTAGCGTTTGCACAACTATTTTGATTATTTCTGATTAAATCTGAATAACAACATGCAACTATCACCGCGTTTAATTAGGAGAAAAATCACAGTTACAAAATGTCTGTGACTTGAAACTTGGCAGAAGGGCAGAAAAAGCTTTTTATGTTTGGGGTTTTGTATCTTCTTTTTTTTTTTTTTTTTTTTTTTTTTTTTTTTTTTTTTTAATGTGTGTGTTTTCTAGTGAATGAGCTAATCTTCTATTTTAAAAAGCCACTTGAAATTTAAATGCAACCACTTTGGTCACATTAGTACTATGCATTCAATACACCACCTAAACAGGATGTAATGGGCACACTCAGTCCTATAAGTGCATGTAGCTTTGTCATGTTTGAGTACTAGCCTAGACTTACAGCGGATAATTATATTTAGCTTGGCATGATATCCCAGCATGCACTAATAACCAATGCAAAAAATTAACTGTCTGTTCTGAATTTTCTTCGTATTTTTAATTTCCGTAAGGTACCTTGTGCTGAAATGTCACAAAGTGCTAAATCATTTACATGCACAGGAGCTAAACACAGACCAAAGTTAGTGTTCGTAGGTAATTAGAGGTATAAATATTGTACAGGGCTTAGGTCATACAACTCCTGTTTTGATTTGTTTAGGCAACTGTGTGACAGGGTCCCTTGGAAGATGGTCCTGAAGGGTATAGGGGTCCAAGAAGGCTGGGCACTCTTCAAGAAGGAAGTCTTAATGGCACAGGAGCAGGCTGTCCCCTGGTCCTGTAAAAGAAGCTGGCGGCAGAGAAGACCACCCTGGGAGCTTTGGCTGCAACTCAGGGAGAAAAGGAGAGTTTATAGCCTTTGGAAGAAGGGGCTAGCCACTCACAGTGATTACAAAGATGCTGTGAGGCTGTGCAGGGCAGAAATCAGGAGGTCTAAAGCCCAGCTAGAAATTAATCTGGCTTCAGCAGTCAAGGACAACAAGAAATATTTCTGTAAGTACTTCAACAGCAAAAGAAAGTCCAGGGGATGGAGAGCCTCCATCCCCTGCTAGATGCAGGAAGAAATATGGTAACAGGCGACAAGGAAAAGGCTGAGGTGCTTAATGACTTCTTTGCCTCAGTCTTTAATAACAAGAGGTTGTATTGAGGGAAACCAGTCTCGTCAGCCAGAAGACAGAGACTGGGAGAATGACACCCCCCACCCCCCACCCCCCCCAGTCCATAGGAGGAGATAGTCAGTGACCTGCTGCATCACACAGACACACACAAGTCAATGGGACCAGACGGGATACACCCAAGGGTGCTGAAGGAGCTGGCTGGGGTGATTGCCAAGCCACTTTCCATCATTTATCAACAGTCCTGGCTGACTGGGGAGGTCCTGACAGATTGGAAACTGGCCAAAGTAACACCCATATATAAGAAGGTCAGAAGGATGATCCAGGAAATTACAGGACTGTCATCTTGAAATCCGTGCCTGTGAAGCTGATGGAGCAGCTCATCCTGAGGACCATCACACAACACATGTGGGCGAACCAGATGCTCAGGCCCAGTCAGTGGGTTTATGAAAGGCAGGTCCTGCTTGACAAACCTGATCTCCTTCTTCAACAGGGCGACCTGCTTATTGGGTGAGGGAAAGGCTGTGGATGTTTGTCTACCTTGACACTGTTTCCCACAGCATTCTCCTGGTGAAACTGGCTGCTCATGGCTTGGATGGGCACACGCTTCGCTGAGTAAAAAACTGTCTGGACGACCGGGCCCAAAGAGTTGTGGTGAACGGAGTTATATCTGGCTGGTCACGAGTGGTGTCCCCCAGGGCTCGGTTTTGGGGCCACTCCTGTTTAACATCTTCACTGATGATCTGGACGAGGGGATCGAGTGCACCCTCAGTCAGTTTGCAGATGACACCAGGTTGGGTGGGAGTGTTGATCTGCTCGAGGGTGGGGAGGCTCTGCAGAGAGACCTGGACAGGCTGGAGCCATGGGCTGAGGCCAACTGCAGGAGTTTCACTAAGGGCAAATGCCGGGGGCTGCCCTTGGGCCACAACAACCCCCAGCAGCGCTACAGCCTTGGGGAGGAGTGGCTGGAGAGCTGCCAGTCAGAGAGGGACCTGGGGGTGTTGATTGACAGCCAGCTGAACAGGAGCCAGCAGTGTGCCCAGGGGGCCAAGAAGGCCAATGGCATCCTGGCTTGTGTCAGCAATAGCGTGGCCAGCAGGGACAGGGAAGGGATCTGACCCCTGTACTCGGCACTGGGGAGGCCGCCCCTCAATTCCTGTGTTCAGTTTTGGGCCCTTCACTCCAAAAAGGACATGGAACGACTCGAGTGTATCCAGAGAAGGGCAACGGAGCTGGTGCAGGGTCTGGAGCACAGGTCGTATGGGGAGCGGGAGCGGCTGAGGGAACTGGGGGTGTTTAGTCTGGAGAAGAGGAGGCTGAGGGGAGACCTCATCGCCCTCTACAGCTCCCTGAAAGGAGGGTGCAGAGAACTGGGGATGAGTCTCTTTAACCAAGTAACAAGTGGTAGAACAAGAGGGAATGGCCTCAAGTTGCACCAGGGGAGGTTTAGACTAGATATTGGGAAGTATTTCTTTACAGAAGGGGTTGTTGGGCGTTGGAATGGGCTGCCCAGGGAGGTGGTGGAGTCCCAATCCCTGGAGGTGTTTAAGATTAGGGCTGACACAGCGCTGAGGGATATGGTGTAGTTGTGAACTGTCATTGTTAGATTAATGGTTGGACTGGGTGATCTTCAAGCCTTTGCCAACCTAGATGATTCTGTGATTCTGTATTAATATCAACAATATAAGAATAACCTCACAGGTATGCGTATACATTGCTGTGAAAACTTTTCCACATTTCTCTGGAAAGTAGGAAAACTGTGCATAATAAGACTGTCTAGAGAAATCATATAGTGGGAGGAAGTTTGAATCTACATGGTATTGTTTTAGTTTAGCTTGGATTATACATCTCTTTTGTTCTAAAACAAAAGGAAAATCATGAAAGCCCGCGTGGCCTCACTTGCTGGTGGCTTCAGCCCTCCTGCAGAGGTCCATGCAGGAGAAGACTGTTCAGATCACTTGGGGACTGCTTGGGGGAAGGAAGATCCTCCACATTTTCAGTGTTCTGTGTTGAAACCCATCTGCAACTCTAGCACAGCAACACAGTCAGATCCACAACTGTTAGTGTCTGCTCCACAGGAAGCAGGAGAAGCAGCTGTTTCAAAGAGGAACAAACTGGACCAGAGGACAGAAGTGTTGAGGGACAATGACGAATGGCACACCAAAGCTTTGGAGAAGATGACAGGAGGAAGAATGAATGTTAAGGACATTTCTGAGGGGAGCAGTTTTTACAGATAAGAAGATAGAATAACTGGCACATGAGGTGATCATGAAAGGGCAGATATCACACGTAGGTGAGAGATCTGGACAGAGAAAAGCAGAAAATGAAAGAAGAAGTGTCACAAAGAAGAGAGGAGACCCATGCCAGGAAATACTGTAACATGGACAGGATCAAGCCCACTATCATGGTGAGGATGTTCTGCATAAGAACACTGTGAAAAACTTAGAGGCACCCATTCTCCAAGTAAGATAGAGGCTTATAGAGTGTTCAAGCACAAACATATATATTCAAATAAAATAAAAAAAGACATCACAGCTGTGGTGAATTCCATGGAATTTCAGGTATAATTTTGATATAATAAGGAAACTGTAGTCACAGTAGTGGTGTAGTAGTGGGTATCAGGCTATGCCTGTATACACATCGCATCAACTTCATCATTAATTGCCTAGGTGGTCCTAGACCTCCCCAGCTAGACCCCTAGATGAGACATGTGGGAAAGGACTGAACTCCCAGCTGCCACTGCAACAAAGTATTTGCTTTATTCTTTACAGCAACTGTACAGGGCCATGGTGGTAGGCTGCCCCCAGGTCATTCCTGCTGTGGAATGGATTCAGTTACACATAGGTAAG